GACTCTTTGTTCCAGAATCCAGTCCACACCCCTTTGTTTGTGAACTTGCCAGCTCCTCAACCCTCCAACCCTCTTGCTCTTGTCTTCAGTGCTGACCCCTGTCTTAGGATAGTTATTTTCTGCCTCCTGGCTTTAATTTGGCAACTGCCCATATCCCACTCCTTTACAGCTATCATGTGCCTAATCCAGATCCCCTGGCTAATGACTCCAGTCTCAATCTCCAATTCCTGTTCCTGACTCAGCTGGCAAGAGGCTCTGCCTCTGTCACTGCCTAGGACTCAATCCCTTACAAACCTAAGCCTCCTTATCCAGCTGTTCTTCATCCCCGAACTCTTACCCCTAGACTGGATATTGCCTGCTCATAATCCCCTGACTTGTGACCCTCTAAGGTCAAGCCTTGACTGCCCATGTCCAGGTTATCCTTCTGATAATAGGAAGGGAACAGGATGTCAACACCAGCTACATAAAAATACAAATGGCTGTACATTTTTTATAAGAAAAGAAAAATTCCGAGTAAAAGTGCCATCCATATCAAGGTCTTAATGTGATTCCTAAAACAAAGAGGTAATTAGCTGTGTTAGTCTGAAATCAGGCAGAGGTAAGTTAGAGGTACACCTTACAGACTCATCAGCAGGGATCCTGGTTTTCTCTGTTTAAAAATTGCAAATTCTCTGATTAAAAAACCCAAAATCCATGTTTTTGGTGATTCAAATCAAATGCCACTAAATATATAGGTATCAATTTAACAGTGTTTTATTAATATATTTACAATTTTAAAGCAGTTTGGATGCCTAGCAGTTTCTCAATCATAATAATAACATGAATTCTAAATACCTATATATTTTGGCATTTGATTTTGTTTTTTTTATCATAGAAAATCAGAGCTCCACCTTTCTCACTAGGACACAGGTCCAGCTACGGTTGTCCTCCCCACTGCTTTGTGGCACTGAGCAGCCCTGATGTGCTGATGCCCTGCCCATACCCATGCCGTTGCCCCTGACTCTTAAGCCACAGTCCCCACTAGTCCTGCTGGTGCCCCTCACTCCAGACCCACAGTTTGCTGGCCCTGTCACTGCCCCTCACTCCAAAGCCACTGTCCTGTGCCCCCCCCCCGGCCAGGCCATGCTGGTGCCCCTTCCAACCCATAGCCCCCCATCCCTGTTGGTGCCCCTCACCTCTGACCCTCAGGCCCCCCAGCTCGGCTGGTGCCCCTCAGTCATGACCCACAGCCCCCTGCCCTCCCCCCACCATCACTGCTAGAGAGGGCCCCCAGCTGCCCCCATCCTGCCCAGGCTGAAGTGCAGTGGTTGCGATGGCTTCGACTGATGCAGGCACCAGCAGAGCAAGTGCAGCCCTGACGCAGACTGGAGGGAGGAGAAGAGACCTGTGGCACCTGCCGCCCTGGGCTGGGGCTTCTGCATCACACCATATGGCCTAGCCATGGCTGTCCATCCCTGAGCAGCATCTCCCAGCTTCCCCACCACTGCAAGCATGGACACCAGACCCAGTACCACTAGCCCAACCACACAGCTCCCCACTTCCCCTGAAGGGACCCCTACCCCCTTCTCCTGCTGCAGGGGCAGGTGCATCCTACCTCCTCCTACCACCCTGCTGCAGCCCCAATGCCTGGACATCTTCCCTCAGCACCAGCAGGCACCCCCCCCCCACACACACACCCATCCACACCCATCCACTCCATACACCCCTGCCACACACACACTCACATCCCCTCACACAGCTCCTGGACAGTCCCCAAGCCCTGGCCCTCTAACCCTTGCCCCCATATGGACCTACCTCTATCCAGCTGCTGAGGCTATTCCCACCATCCTGCCTGTCTGTTTGCTGGCCATGTATATGTATGCATGCATGTGTATGTGGTACCCCTTGTCTCCAATCACCCCAATCAGCTCTTTGCAGGCTGGAAGGCTGCCAGCCTGCAAGGGGAAACCTGTGGTTTCCCCACAGTTTTCTCTTTTAAACGGAAAAATCCACATTATTCTTCAAATAAGAAAACCCATGCTTTTCCACAGCAAACGAAAAACTCAAATCCCTGGTGATGTGTTGCAACACAACTGATCCACTTCATTGAATGAAATGCACATCACCTCTTGATCCTCCCGTTGATGGTATTAGACAAGGAGCAATGTGATCTCCAAAGGTAGTTTTGGGTAAGTAGGCAAAGCCCCATTTTCCCACTTACCCAGACTGTCCACAGACATTAGAGGGGCAAGTCTGGGTAAGCAGGTCCCTACATGGAGGAATGGGGCACCAGGGTTCCCTGGGTTCCACCCCAGGACCCATGTAGGCTTTCCCTGCTTATGGAGACTGCCCCTGGAGATCATGGGTGGGTCTCTGTAAGCAAGATACCCTCACTTCCCTGCTTATGCAGAGGCACCTCAAGATTCCCTGGGGTGCTTCTCTGTAAGTAAGGAAAGCCATAGCACCTGCTCAGGGTAGCTGGAGAGTGCAAGCAGGTCAGGCTGCTCATACTCTCCTGCTACAGAGCTAATAGGGATCTGCCACAATAAAGTAGCAGAATCTATTAGTATCTGAAGTTGCAACATTGATTTGCCTCTGCTGTAGCACAACCAAGGGTAGGGATGTCTATTTGCTTACCATGACTGTGTCCAGATCAGTGTGGACATTTGGTTCCCTGAGGGTAACCGGCAGCAGTACAACGTGTGCCACTATTAGTTGTTTCCGGGGAATGCCAGTGCCACGCACCCTCTGGTATGTGGTAGGTTACTTCAAGTAGGGTAGGGGAGGCTGGGGCCAGCACCTGTGCTAGCTCCAGCAGCCTTTCCTGGGGTCCTGGGGGCTGGGGAAGGCTCCAGCCATGGTGCTCCTGTAGCTTGGAGCCTGGCTGGCAGCCAGAGCATGGTTCCAGCCAGCCAGGCTCCAGTTTTGGGTGATGCCCACTGCCCTCACATGTGCCACCCTGCTGTTTTCCTGTGTAGGCTTTTTTAACCCCTGAATCTTTCACAGCTGTGCAGGAAACACCTGAATATGTAGTGAGTGGTGCTGCAGTTGGGTCTGCAGCGCCATATACCACTCAGCCATGCTCATCTGGACACAGCCCATTTGAGCAAACAGTGAGGCATAACTAATGACTTGCGATGTCTGTTTTCACCCACAGAGCAAAATGACATGCAAATGTTGTAAAGCAAGTTCTAAACATTCAGATATGTTTTTTTGTGTTCAAAAATGTGCCTACACAAACACTATTAACTCAGTGAGCATCTGACTGCACCACAGACTTGTTAAAAATGAGGATTTTTGCAAAAAACAAACAAGCCAGTGCAGCTTGAAAGCCTGGGTTGAGTCTTTTCTAATAATACAGTTATGGGGGTGTAGCAGAAGGTGAACAATAGCTTTTTTAAGAGGTATTTGTGCGGAAACTTAGTTGTGTTGCTTGTCTTGTTTAACTGTGCTTTGTCCTTGTTTAATATTTTAGGACAAGAAGACACATTATTATATTATTAGCACTGCTATTAATATGGAACCATACATAGGTATAATGCTTTACAAATTGTATACAGACAGGTTTCCTCTCCAATGGGTTATAGTAGAAGAGATCAAGGGTGGAGATAAATAAATATAAAATGAATGACATAATGAAGGATCAGAAGTGTGTGGAGGAAAGTTAATGCCATTAGGGTGAAATCCCAGCCCTACTGAAGTCACTAGAAATTTTAGTGTTAAAGCATGGGTTAGGTTTTGTTGTCCTGAGAAGATCATATATCCTTGAAACCAATAGTAAATCATGCAGGTCTTAGGATACCCATGGAAAGAGGGAGAAAAGTGGGTAGCGTTTACACCTACATGCTAACACTGACAGTAAGTAGAGAGAGGTAGTTAGCCAGGTTAGGCTAAGTCAGACAGAAAGCAGGGGAAGGTGGCATCTTTACAGACTAATTCAGAGAGGCATGAGCATTCATAGGTTACAGCCTTCATCAGATGCAATGAAAGGACTTTCAGAAAGTAGGGGTACTGCATAGGCAACTGGTAGGGGGTGCATGGGGGTACACGTGCCCTGCCTGACAGCTGACACGGACGCTGTCGGCAGGGCTGGTGCCCCCCCTGACAGAGCTGCTGCCCCAACAGATTCAGGAGGCACCAGTCACTCATGGGGTACTGAAAGGAATAGAAAGGAATAGTCCTTTAAATTCAAAGAAGGAAAGAGGAAGAGAGGAGAGGGGGCACTAGTGAGAGAGGCAAAGATGGGTTGAATAGATCAAAAGGTATAAACAAAGCAGTTAATCACTTGAGGGACATACAGGTTATATAAACTAGTGCAGGTAGTGGGATAAGAATCCAGAGGCTCTGTTGTGACCATATTTAACACAATCCAATCTGAGGATGATTCTTGTTCTGTATCTTGGTATTCAAATTGATTTTTAAAGTTCAGTTTTTAAGAACAGCTACACTCAGGTCACTGATGAAACATCCAGGGAGGTTAAATAGTTCTGCCACAGGCGTTTGTGTCTGTTATTGTTCCCTTATCCATGCAGTTGTTTCTTGAGCCATGCTCCAAAGTCTTTGCTGCCAGCAGCTGGTCTAGAAGTGGCCTTAGGAAGGCTGCTCCCATTGTGCTTCTTGTCATCCCAACAAAATAGAGCTGATAGAATAATCTTGATTTTCTATCCCAATGGGACTTGTGAGAGGGTGATGCTATAGATGGCAGCCTTCCTCCCTGACTTGCCCTATCATTAGAGCCCTGGCCACCAGTATTGTAAAGCTGCATTTCATTTATCATCCAGTGATAAGAAAAGCTCATCTGTATGACTAAGCTGGTGGTAGTGAAATGCAGCCCCACAGTCTGACTCTCAGTCTGACTGAAGCCTTGCACTAACAAATACAAATTATACAATAATAACTTATAGTTAACTGTGAATTATAAATAAGCCAGCCCACTCTTAAATTCCCCACTCACAATTTAATATACCCGTTAATGTCCATCAGTGAAAATCAACAGGCTGAGTGGAAAGATCTTGAGATAACTACACATAGGAATTCATGCTCAGAGTCCCTGCTGATGCATGTTTGGTTTTGTGCAAATGATGGCGGGAAGATGGTAGGATACCTGGGACTTCTGGATTCTGGATGGTAGGATACCTGGGACTTCTGGATTCACTAGCATAGCAGTGAAAGCTGCAGTATATTGCTCCTCCAGCGATGAAAAATGCTGAGCTGACCCACCCTAAGTAGAGGGCAGCTCCCAGTTCTCGTTTGCGTGGTGCAGGGATGAACGGATTGCGGAAGTCTCTGATGATACCATTGGCAGTCCAGGACACTGGTATCAGAACGAGAATGGCTGTCAAAATAAAAATGACTCCAGCTGTGAGCAGAGTGATCTTCCGGGCTTGCTTACTATCCCCAATACATTGAGTACACTTCATACCAATAATAGCTGTCACAAAGGCAATGATTGATAAGACCACAGCAATGCACATCAATGCTCTGGCTGCTGCCAAGCCATCTGGAAGTGCCAAGACAGAGGGATAGAATCTGCACTGAGTTTTGATGTTAAGTTGACTGACGCAATTCATCCATAGCCCTTCCCACATTGTCTCAAACACCACGATGTTACCACCAATGAAGGCAGACACTTTCCATTGAGGCAAGAGTGTGGCTGTAAAAGTCCCAACCATGCCAATGCCTCCAAGTACAAGGCCAATGATTTGCAGTCCACAGTAAGCCATATTCTTTCGGAGACAGATGAAAAATAATCGGCAACCAGAAAAGATTCTAAATCAAATTTTCTTAGAGATAAAATAAAGCACAAGATTGAATCCTTTTTGTAATAGTTTTCCACATAGGCAAAGTGATTATCAAGCAGATTCAGTCAAGTAGCTTCAATCTGTATTATTAATGTTAAAAAAGGCAGAAGTTCATTTCTGACTGGTTAGAAAGATCTGCTATTTATTTGCTCTGAAATCTGAAATCATGTCTGACTAGAACACATGCAAATCAAGCCCAACATGTTTCCAGCCAATAAGGAGCTTGATAGGGTGTGTCAAGGAATATCATACTTCTTCTCATATCCTGTAGTGATGTTATAATTAAATAAGTATCAGGATTCCATTAGAAATACTCACTTGCACAGTTAATCATTCCACAACTACAAGACTGCAATCTATTTTGAAACTTGGGGCATAAGGTACTAGCCTAGGACTAACTTCTGAACTTCTGTCTTGCACAAGTTTGCATAAATCAGACCAGCATCATGTTTTGTATGAAAAAAAGTAAAAGTTGACAAGAAGTGGGGCTGAGAGTTTATGAGCTCTCCTAGACAAAAACCTCTTATTTAAAAAAAACAAAACCCTAGCATTCATTTCTGTAATGTAGTTCTTTGATGCTGGCTTTTGGTTTTGATCAAATATGAAACTGTAATAATAGAATTAAAGAAGTACTTTAAACTCAGGTGTTACAATCAGCCTCAAAGCATTATTTTAATAGTTACATAATATGCAAGGACATATTGTAAAACTGACAGAATTTTGTGGATTTTTTTTTTTAAACCCAGAGGGAAAGGACATTGTCAGGGGAAAAAATCCTCTCCAAACTTCTTTCCTATTAGTAAGATAATGTTATTATTGTTTTCTACTCTAATAACTTTCTCCAGAGGATATTTTCAGGGGGGAAAGCCCTCCAGACACATAAGAAAGCATTATTCTTTCATATTATAGTATAATCCTGTTCTTTAGTCACTGGACAACACTTTCTGGATTGGATGGTGATAGATGATACTTCCTATAAAATGTATTTTGGATCATGCAGAATATTAAGAGCCAGATCTCCTTGACTCAGTTGGCTTCAGCATGCAGTTAAACTTCATTCACTTCTTTACTTCCTTTTCCTTTGCAGGAGATAATAATGCTCTATGGGTGGTGTTAAGATTAATTAGTTTGCCGTAGTACAGTTTTGTGAAATCCAGGCCTAGATCCTTAGCCAAGGTATATCTGCATGTGTCCACTGAGGACAGTTAGGATCTGATCCAAAAAGTACTAGCTAAGAAATATATATAATTATTTTGGCTCTATATAAGTGTAGATATCAAACAGAGCCCTTGGTTTTCTTCAATTTCCTAACTGATTAGCAAACATAGGTGTTTATACAAGTGTTTAGATTATAGAAAAAGAAAGATAAAATCTGACTCAGTCACCTAAATAAGTCTTAGCCAACAACATCTTCCTCAACCTACACTGCTTATTTATGCTGCAATGAAACAAGTGTTTGGAAATAGTGTTTTTAATGTGACCTGTATAATGTGATATAAGAGCTGCAGACAAATAATGATATACCCAATCAGTAACAAGCACAGTATGATATGAAATCGCCTTAACTAAAGTATAAAAGTTAACACTGGTATGGTGCTTTGACATTCTAAGGCCTTTGTAAACACTAACGGCAATTTTACACAAGCTCCAACACATTCTGATTAAAATGTGTCACAGCAAACATGTCAGAGCCACTCTAATTAAAACACACACCCCCCCCACCACTCTGGAGCATGTGTATAGGCACCCTAAGAAATTACTATATATGAAGTAGCTGAGTGTTACCATTGCAAATCCGCAGATTTAAAATGGAAGGCAAGTAGGTTAAGGTACTGTCTCAAAGCCACAGAGGGAGGGACATCCAAGCTAAGACCAAGTACCAGGTAGGGGGGCACCTTGCTGCTCCCCTGTTTTTGTTTTGACCACTAAATCACAACTCCAATGTTAAGCAGGTTGCCATTTTCCTAGAGGCAAATTGTGTAAATAGATGCCTGGAGGAGCCTGTAGTAATAAGCTGGGATCCAGGATTTCTATCTGCCATGGGAAAACATGGGAAAACCTGGATTTTCTCATTTTAAGGAGAAAAACCCAGATTTTCTCCTTTAAAGGAGAAAAACACTGTAAACGGTGGGTTTCCCCTTTCAGGTTGGCAGAGTTCCAGCCCACATGGGGCTCAGGGAGGTGCAAGAAGGGCGATCAGCAGGGGGCACCATACATGCATGCACATGGCTGCCAAGTAGCCTGGAGACTAGCTCCCTGCAGGTAAGTCTGGTAGCGGTGGGAGGGGTGGAATTGAAGCCCCCATAGGGAGGGAGGGAGGAAGTTGGGCAGGGCTGGGGCTGTTGCCAAGCTGGAGTAGTGTGTGGGACTTAGGGCACGGGACTGGAATGAGTGTGGCTGCAGGGCCCAGGTGGGGAGAGAGATGGGGCCACAGGCGGTTCATCTGGGGGATGAGGGAGCTGGCTCCCTGCCACTGTGCACACCCACCAAGGGACCATGGGGGGCACATAACCCTGAGATTTGTGCATGGGGCTTGAGCATTTCATCTGGGGGTGGGGGCAGGTGTGGGCTGCCACTGCAGGCTTGGGCTCCCTGTCCTGCTGCCCTGGCAGGCAGGACCTGGCATGGCAGGGCAGAGTAGGGTATAAAAGCTCAGTGCCACCACTGTGAGCCCCATGTCACCCTGGTGAGGTGTCCCCTGACTGCCTGGCAGCAGCAGGGGCAGTAGCATGGAGTTGTGTTCCTTGCTACTACTGGGTGGGCGGGGGGTGCTTCTCCATGACAGCGTGGATTGCCCAATAGCAGCAATGAGCTCTCCCACCCAGTCCCACTCTGCCCTGCCAGACTGGGTCCTGCCTGCCAGACTGTAGACGTCCCAGGTGGAGGGCAGAAAGGTAAGAAGCCCCAAGTCCACAGCAGGCAGCCCACATCTGCCCCCCGATGGGCTCTGGCTGTGTCATCCAAGGGGGAGGGGGAGCCAGGTTCTGCGCTCTACTCTGCCACAGCAGCTGCCACCTCCCGTAGCGGCAGCTGGGGCTCAGCTGCTGTGGGGGGCAAAGCTGGGGCGGCAGCGGGGGCTCAGACACTGCTGTGGGGGGGGAAAGGGTTGTGGAGTGAGGGGCACCAGCAGGGGTGGGCAGCTGTGGGTTTGGAGTGAAGGGCGATGGTATGGGCAGGGCACCAGCATATCAGGGCTGCTCAGTGCCACAAAGCAGTAGGAGGGGACAGCTGCACCTGGACCTGCATCCTGGTGAGTGAAAGGGGCAGGCGAAGCTCTGATTTTTCTATGATAAAAAACCCAATATCAAGCACCAAAATTTGTAGGTATTTATAATTTATTTTATTATAGTGATTGAGGCACTGGTAGGCTTCCAAATTGCTTTAAAATTGTAAATATATCCTTAAATATTGTGTCCAACTGATACCTATATATATATATATATATATAGTGATATTTCATTTTAATCACAGAAAAACATGGATTTGGGGGGTTTTAATCAGAGAATTTGCATTTTTATCAGATAATTTAATATTTTTAAATAGAGAAAACCAGGGTTCCTGGTACTAAGCTTTGGCTGTCGAGCTCTGTTCTATGGTTCTCTTACACAGGAGATACTTGATGTTACTAGGGCCTGCTAAAAATTTTCCTTAAAGAAAATCAAAATTTTACACTCTGAAAAAGGACCATTTTTTCCTAGGAAGAACTGACATTTTTATGACAAAAAGAAAAACAATATCCAAACTGGCATCAAAAGATTATTTTGGGACAAGAATCTCTCTTGTGCAGCCCTAGGTCCTATTACATTTAGCGCCATGGAAGTATATTATCTACTGGAACTGTTTTAAAGTCATGTGTTGGTACATGGTTGTGGGAGGATCAATGATGAGGTCATGCATAGAATTGCAGTCTGGTAGTCAGAAATGTGAATTATGTAGGAACTAAATTATTCCTAGAAATAGTATAAACACATCACATACTGTTTGTAGAGCTGCCACCTCGCATGGGCGGCAGCTAGGGCTCAGACACTGCTGGGCAGGGCACCAGGGCACTCAGTGCCACAAAGCTGTAGGAGGGGACAGCTGCACTGGACCTGCATCCTGGTGAGTGAAAGGGGCAGGGGAAGCTCAAAATGTGTTAAATAACTGAGTGTTTTTTTCTAAGCGAACGTAACACCTAAACTACATGACATCACACTGCATGTGTAATACAAGTATAACTATTTTATCCTACTCTCATATGTTCTGTCCAATATCTGGATAATTATTGTTATGAGCCCTTAGGACAGGAGGGCAGCAAAGTAGAATCAGAAATCAAAAGGCTTGAGACTAGGTAATGGTCACTGTATTTACTGAACTGGAACTGAACCACAGATGGCGTGCTAAGAAAGTGAATGGTTAATTACAAAAACTCTCTATCTTTACATAGAGTTTCTTTTTCTGTTCTTTCCCAGCACATCTAAAACTACAAATACTACAAAAATAACAAGTGGAGATGAGATTTGCAGAGTTTTACAGCCTGATCCATGGTTCCCAGGGCTTTGAACAGAATATTTAATAATCTTTTGAGAGTTAGCTATTTTAACCTAGTTAAGTGACTTCAGTCTTTTACCAGGTACTGTCACCTGAATTTCTGCATTGAGAGAGCAATGGTCCTAAAAGAGCTATATGATGTCAGAAAAGATGTCATCTTATTCTGCTGCTTCAGAACAGACAACCAAAGGGTTTGGGTGATGCTCAGCATGAATAACACCTAGGCGATGATTTACCATATATTTTAAGGGATTTTGTGAGTGTTGTAACAAAAATTCACATTGTGCTGTTGGAAATAAAATTGGGAGTTCACAAGGCAACACTATGTGCCTCATAAAAATGAAAAGCAACATATATGTTCAGACTTCTGAAGAGCATTAAAATATATCATT